AGAGAGAGCGAAAGGGAGAGAGAGATGTTAAGTGCGTGTGAATACTTGCGTGTTGCGTCTATGCGTCTCTCAGCAGTGTTCAGCAGCAGCGTCTACTAATAGCGAATCTTTTAAGTTAAACTGCTTCAAGAACCTCGCTACTGAGAAATGTCGTAGCTTTTCAGCTGCGAAACTGTTTTATTGATAAATTCGCGGGGCAGCGCTGACAAGAAGTTTCTGTTCGTGTCTCCACGTGTGTGCGCGAGTGCCTGTCTGCACTGTGTGTGCGTCTGTGAGAGAGAACGGGAGAAAGAAAGCGTGATTTCCGTAGTCTACATAAAAAAGGTGGAAGACATGGAAATAGCTTGTCATTTTTTACACTATTGTTTGTTATATTTATTTGCTTAATGTCTTCTGGGGTTTTGGTTCTTTTACTGTTGTAGATAGCCCATAGTATAACAAAAATATTATATATATATCTCTTCATTGTGTTTGAGCCCCCCTGGACGAGCAGATATAGGCACGTGCCTAACCCGGCCCTGCACACAGCATGCATTCTTGCATTACTACAAAGATAACAAACTCCAATAGCAGGCAATAGAAGTTTAGAACCTTTGAATGTTTGTATTATTCAATTGTTTTATGATTCAAGTAACTAGCAAGATTCAAGTATCTGACCACAAAAACCTCATGAAATGGTTTGATGAGCAGTTTTGTTGTATCCTGTATTGACATATTTCCTTTTGAAACAGGAAGTTAATGAAGTATCTTAAGCGAATGTGTACATGTGATGTACGCACAAAGATGTTCTTTACGTTCAACTTGCAACATGCACCTTCAATTGTTTTGCACAAATTAATTTGCCCACAAGGTGGCAACACTGTCCTGACCGACGATAGACAAGTGCAAGGGGAGGGGGTTAACAAATACTCTCAACTCTAAACAAGTACAACAGCATTTTAATTGGTAACTTCTGGGGAAAAATAGCACAGACACTGAATGAGGACGAAACTTTCTAGTTTGCTTGTGTCGAGCACCTGTGTTTATGCGAAGTGTACTTTGAAAAGATATTTGTTGGGCTGTGAACATTAGTGTTAACTTACAACTAAAAAAGTAAGCTTTGAGCTATAATTTACATGAAAACACTGAACAATGACTTGCTATTGCTAGTCAGAGATAGGTGGCATTGGGGGAGGGACATTCTCATTCCAGACAGCATTTGATTGGACACTGAAAAATTGATAAACACTTGGGATTGCAAGATAAATCAACATTATTAAAACTGACTAAAGAACACTACAATGCCTACTGAGAAATGAATTGATAATTGAATCTTTAAACATGCATTTCGAGTACAGCTCTGTATCCGAAAATGAATACTAACGCACAATATAGCAGGCAAAAAACTGTGTGAAATTAGTATTCATGTCCAAATTTGTTGTGTTTGCAGAAAAATAGGTGAAAAGTAACCAGATGGCCTACTACTTCCACCGAGATTTTGAAGTGTGCATACATTGGACACTTTTCGGACACACATCATGTTTGTGTAGAAAGGTGGTGTATTTTGAGGCCTAATGCCATTCGCAAATCTGCAGACGGGGGTCTAAATGCATGTGGAAACTCCCTCGGGATCAAGTTACCCTAAGGAAAATGTCCTGTCTGTATGTGTATTCTCTGAGGACAGACGTCACCGCGTAAGTGCATTTGAGCAGGAATCTCTCCGGCATCAATTACCAAGACAGGTCGACGCTTGACAACATGGGGTCCTTCCCCCTCTAATATATTAGAATGTGTTCAATTCATTAATGTTATTATCACGCCAGAGGCGAGTGCAAACAAGTGTGTCCACACGCATCTCATTGCAGGGAGAGCTATGAAAGAAATTTCGCCAAAACGGGAGGGAGAAATTGGGGGAAACTAAAGAGGGACATGATTGACCACACAAAGAACGTAGATGGAAACAGGATGCTTTATTGGGAACACCGCAGCCCAAACAACTTCCTTAGAAAGTGCGGTTTTAAAGGGAACTGACAAATTATTTGCTTGGCTCGAGTTTGCACCTCCTCACGGGACAATCCTGCATACACAGTATTCGCTCAAAATGAAGGACAAGTAAAGGACAGCATTCCCACAAAAGAAAACCAAATATAGGACATTAATCATAGCAAGGATGATGTCAGGCAACCTAAACCCAGCATTCACATCCTAACAAGGCTGTACATGAAAAATTAGAGCAGGCCTGCAGGGCTCAGTACTCACGCACACGCCTGCTCGGAGGATGTTTAGGCCTAAATGATAATGCGCATGTAAATATTCAAATTTGCAGAACATCTGTTTATCTAGCGTCCTTTGGAGTGCAAAACGGGTTTATAAGTAATCAGACCTGGAAGAACACTCAGTCTATGCAGTAATCCTGAACAAACTGACTAATCTACTCACCACCCTGTTATTACTCAAATCCTTAAATTGATTTCATTCCAGCGTGTCTTGTTTGCCTGCGGGGAACGAGGTGGACGACTATACTCTCAGGACATAGTCAAAGGTTTATCAAGTAGACAGAGATCATAAACAACATACATATGCAAAAATAAATGTGCATGCATGGTAAACAAAAGTATAAATATAGTCTCAAATGAGTATTAACAATATTCAAAACAGACTACTGGCTAATTCACAGATAAAAGCTGATGGCTAACATTTTCCGCATGGCTGTCGCCTCCTGCTGGTGGTAATGAAATTACACCTCAAATTCAGTCTGATTGGACTTGAACTAATAAAACCACACAAACTAGGAAATTAAGGACATGTTGTATTGTAGTACTGGCTTTAACTGAAGCTTAATTATCTTCTTAATGATCATTTTCTGATGACGTCAAACTAAATATAGTAATCATAGCCTGAAAACAGGCCAAAAGCATTGAATACAGTTCATAAAAATGCAAAAGTTACATATGCATGATGATAAAATGATCAAGTATTATAAGACATACTAAACACGTAGTCTTTGTGTAGTATAATTCTAAACAGAGGATGTTTTATCCTGTGTAATACCTGAACGGCAAGCAGCTTTAGTGTTTCGGAAGTTGTGAGACTTTTGTAATGAATAACTGTAGTGTTAAAATAGCCACACATGCGTGTCTTATAGCACCTTTGATTAATATGAATGTTGAGTATAAAGGCATATATCAGTATAATATAGAACTGAAGGCACTGGCAAACACCAACACACGCATCTATACATAAACTCTATAGCGTGTGGTCAGTGTGCATTTCATCTTTGGCAGAACAGCTGACAGCTGTTTATATTATAATGTGTGTGTCCCTGAGGCCCTGTACACAAGGTAGCAAACAGACCACACACAACGTGGCACACTGGCACTAAATATCATTTAACACGTCTTTCTCTCTTCACACAATCAGACGGACGAAATACCAAAAGACACAAGCACAAACATACACACAAAATTATAGGATATGTGTTCCATTCTATCTTCTGGGCCGCCAAGCAAAAGTTCATGTTGCATAATAAAATATAAAGGCAGCGAAGAGAAAAGCTTCAATACTGTGGATTGAGATTGAAAAACTGATACGAACGCAAAAATAATAATAAGTTCAGCGTTTGGGGGAATCAATACTGAAACCAGCATGTGAAAGAGTGCAGATCAAGTCCAGTGGTTTTTAAGTCCACACACTGCACATATTATTCCTTCTCTGCTGGCAGACAACATCTAAATCATGAACTGAGTGTATCCCTCTGCCCCCGTTACGATAACGTCCATCCATATTCTCATAGCTTCTGGAGAGGGTGCCACCATGTAGTAGACGCGATCATGGGTCTTCACACTGAACGTAAGTGAAGGGTTTGGACTCTGAGAAAGTGAGGAGAGAGAGAGAGAGGGGTAAGATTACAGTTTGACCTCTAGGGGGCAGCACTGAAACATTAAAACAGGGGCGTCCACACTTTGGTCCTGAAGGGCCACTGTCCTGCAGAGTTTAGCTCCAGCTTGCCTCAACAAACCTGTCTAGAAGATTCTAGGATATCTTTTAAGACCTTTATTAGCTGGTTCAGGTGTGTTTAAATGGGGCTGGAGCTGAACTCTACAGGACAGTGGCCCTCCAGGAGTAGGATTGGACACCCCTGAATTAAAAAAAGAATTTAATTAATTTTTTAAATCCTTGTTTATTAAATAATAAATAACAATAATTATCTTATCATAGACTTAACTTTTAAAATAAAGTCAAGTCTATTTTAAAAACATTAGCCATTTATAGTTTTCATAATAAATGTCAATGTTAGCTGTTATTAATGATTTTAAATGTTGAATGTTCAATAAAATACATGTTATTAATAATTAATGTCAATAAATGATAAAATCCAAAATATCAAACGTTAAGCTAAATTTGAAATGACATTAAAAGATCATTTAAATATTAAAATTATTGTTTAAATATTTTAATTATTTTAACTTATTAAAATCAAAGCTAAAAATGACTGTAAACACCGTATATACATTTTATTATATTGATAATTATCAGTTGCAGAGGAAAAGTACCTTGTGGGCACTCTTTAAGTGGTCGTAATATACTTCCTCTATGGCCTGGAAATAAATCACTCCTTTCAGTTTGGCCTCGTGTTTATCTGAAACCGTACAAAAAGTATAAAAATCAATACTGATATCATTTCAATCGACCAACTTCAGGAGTGAATAAGTGAAGGAAAAAAAAAAAAATCACCTGCATAGTAGCTCAGGGTCCTGCGGTTACGATCGAAGACAAACCAGCGCTTCTTCCAGGTTTTGATTTTGCCGCCCATCTTAATGAGGAAGCCCCTGCAGGTTTTCTCGGTGATGGAGACGTGGTAACAAGTCTCTGTGTTGTGGCCGGCCGAGTCGATGTGGCCACGAAGGTCAAAGTCGTCCTTTCTTACAGGTAGGTAGCGTGTGAGGGGACGAGACTGTGGCAGGGTCACATACAGTATAGGACATTAAGTATTTGTTAAAACTAGATTTTTCTTATGTGGCTGCTAATATGTTCTGAGTGTTTTAACGTTTCCATGTAGTTTCTAGTGTGTTATGAGGTTGATAATCTGTTCTGAGTGTTTTAGTATGTTGCTATGTGTTATGTGGCTTTGGGTTTCACTCATGTCTGTGATGTTATGGGGTGAGTTACAAAAATGTGTTCAAATCTTTAAGTTAAATACGAGTAATAGCAATGCATGTCTTAGCACAGAACTCACCTGTGCTCTCTGTTTCTCACGAAGTTTCACCTCTCTCTCGATGAGTTTCTGCCTCCTGCTGGTTTCTTCTTGCAGCCGTTTTTCTAGCTCTTCTCGCCGTCTCCTCTCCTCTTCAAGAGCCCTGCTCTTATTCTCCATCTCTCTCTCCTGAGACACATACAAATGACACTGTTCTGTACCGAAACAAGTTGCTTTTTAAAGCTGCACATAAGTAGTACTCTCCGTTCCAGCCTAAACTCCCATGAACGACATCAGAAACAGGAAGACCGACTCGTTTCCCACAGCGTTCCTGCATTTCACGCCGAATTTGTTTCTGTTTATGGCTGACCGAGAAACTTCTAACAGAGCAAACAAGCTCACGGTTTAAGATCCGTGAAGCCAAATGGGGTTCATTTGGGTTTATGGCGTGCCGAAAGACTGGATTGTGAAACTGATGTCAGCTCTAGCAAGAAGTGGCAGGTTTGTGTGGCCGTTTCATTACCCTGTGTTCCAAGAGCCGGTGCTTCTCTGCCTGAGCCTCCTGGAGAAGACGTTCCATCTCCTCGATCTTGGAAACATTGGAGGTGCTGGCGCTGCAGAAAAAAAAAATAGCCTGTGAGATAAGGCATTACATTTAACTTTTCAGAGCGAATGCTACACCAAAGAAATCTCAACTAGGCATGTGAGAAGAATGCATACACTTGCAAATGTAAACATGTCCTATGTGCATTGGCATGTATGTATGTATATGCTGGAGAACACAGAAGGAACCAATAAAGCTGGTCAGCACTGGAACACATTAACAGTCCAGGCGTAGAGAGCTTGAGAGTGCGGCCCACAGTCTGACATCTCATGCTTTCCATTTAGACTTCAAAAAGAACACGTGGAATAGATCTGACCAGCCCCTCCTTTCAGTAAAACTTCAAATTTCCCCCTAAAACCTTCACCTCACTGCTTGGCTCCGCAATATCATCCTTAAAACCTTCACCTGTAAAGAATATATGGGAATCATCTTCCACATCAAACCCTTTTGTCATTACTGGCATTCCCGAAACAACCGTCCATAAAACAAAACGTACACTCCAATAATACACTTTCCAGTAACCGATAACGGACAAAGGCAACGACAGTTCTTGCAAACTACAAAAGAACTGAGCAAAGTTGAAGCCTAACTGGTTTTTGCATAAATTAAATGCAATCAATCAGCGTGCATAATTTTCTGTCAGATATGCAGATAAAAATCAACACATAACTGTTTAGGAGTTGACAAGCTGGCTATTGATGGTTAGGTAGATGGAAGAAAGAAAAGACCAATCACAACTTATGCAAATATTAAACAGGAGGCCTAATCAGAATTCCCTGAGCAGATTTCAAATTACTGTGCCAATCTTGCATGCAGAGTAATTTGATTTTTCTAGATGTTTTTATGAACGTGCTGAAATCGACTGGTTTCGTTTTGGAATCTGGTGATGGACAGCTGTCAATCATTAACAAGATGCCTCTGCATGCATGATGAAGACGACTTTATAGTTCTTATAGCAGGTTTACAAAAGCTTGTTTTGACACTTTGTTGTTAATTCACAAATAAAGATGCAATTCAAAGATGATCCAAAATCCAAATCAAGACAATCCCATCATGCAAACATCAAACCCATCATGCAAACCTGCTCCATTATGTCTATAACAGAGTTAAAATAAATAAAACAAATAAATGATTTTGTTCATCTTCTTCTTTGTTGTTCCATCTGATCGTCAAGCCATAACCGCTGCCCACCTTGTTTCCATTTCCATTCCTCTGCACACATTGTATTCCTCTCATGTCCTTCATCAATCAGTTCTTTCATCTTTATGGTATCTTACCAGTGATGCCGGAGATGAACAGAGGTCATTCCTGATTTAGATCCCAAAGAACCAGTAGAGAGAAGTGGAACATAACACACAAAGACCCACGAACAGCCTGAACCCGCGCTCTGCAGCTGATTACATTCAAACTGAGGGGAAGAAACCCTGAATCTGTTTCCTCTAACTGTTCCTGCTGTAACCTGAGTGTATCCATACCCGGAGCAGAGGAGGGGGTACCAACGGTCCTTCTCAGGCCCCTCAGAACTCATTCAAGCAAACCACTCAAATTACACAAGCGCCGATCTGCTGCCTTCTGCACGCACACACACACACACACACACGCACACGCACACGCACACAGCATAAACACACATCACTCCAAGTAATGACCTCATGTGGTCTCATCTGTCAAAGTCTTTTCACTAAGGTCTTCAACTAGTCACTTCAAACAGACTTGAGGTTTATGGTAACCTAGATGAGACCAGTCACCAGAGCATTCAAATACGGTTCCAGGATTTCAGTTGCTCTGTCTTTCTCTCTATTCTTTCCTCACACGTTGCCCTTGTTCTCAATATTTCATTCATTGTACCCCAGACAGAACGCTTGGCTTGAACTACAATAGGAGCTGTGGAAATGTTTTCAATTACAAAGACATGGTATGTGTCATGGGTTTATACGATCCGTCTGTAGATCTGGAGAGAAACACTACAGTCTGAATCTAAGTGGGGACATACAATAGATTTCTACTGTTTTTATATAATATAAATACTCTTTATATTTTTTAAATTTATAATTACATTTAAATTTAAACCACCATTCAGATGTTTGGGGTAGGTACATTTTTTTTAAAAGCAGTCACTTAGGCTCAACAAGGCTGTGTTTACTTTATCAAAAATATGCAGATTTGGTGCTAAACAAAAAACCGTTCTTATCAATTTTGAAAAATGTTGTGCAGCTTAATATTTTTGTAGAAAGCGATTTTTATTTAGATTCTTTGATTAATAAAGAACTCAATAGGACAGCAATTAAAAAAAATTACACACACACACACACACACACAAATATATATAAATATATATGTACAGGTGCATCTCAAAAAATTAGAATATCATGAAAAAGTTAATTTTTTTGTGTAACATTTCAAAAAGTGAAACTTGCATATATTCTAGATTCATTACATGTAAAGTAAAACATTTCAAAAGTTTTTTTTGTTTTAATTTTGATGATTAGAGCTTACAACTCATGAAAGTCAAAAATCCAGCATCTCAAAATATTAGAATATTTACATTTGAGTTTCATTAAATGACTATCCCTACAGTATAAATTCCGGATATATATATATATATATATATATATATATATATATATGCGTGTATTTTTTTTTTCAGCAACCTTGCTGAAACAAAATTCTTAAAAAAAAAAAAAAAGAAAAAAAAAAGCAAACTGAAAATTTGTTTCTTGCAGGATGATGCAGATGTGGAGTGGAAGTTCGCTCGGTCTAAACTCTGGCTCTCGTATTTTGACAACGGCAAGACTCTCCCGCCTCCATTCAGCATCGTCCCCAGTCCGAAGTCCTTCTATCTGTGTATCAAGAGACTGATCAACCTGCTCCGGTGGCGCCCGCGCCGCCTGAAAAAAGACGTGGAGCTGGGCATGGACAACTCGAAGTCCAGAGTATGTGTCTGCTGTTGTGTATTGTTTGTATTTATGTGTCAGGGTTGCACAAAATACTGATTTTAAGTGTGAATTTGAATTGACTTGGCCAAAATACACAGAAAGTTGAATGAATACATTAAAAATTACATGTACAATACAAATATATACATTATATACATATACACACAATATTTATATTTAATACCACTAGTTAGTAGCTATTTTAAAAATGAATTTATGAAATTACTTTACTTGAATTTATAATACAGTATATACTGTAATGTCTTATAGTGTTTACATTTTAATCTTCAGATAGTAGATGTATAAAATTTGATTATAAATCTAATTTTAGATATATATATATATATACACACACACACACACACACACACAGGTGCATATCAGAAAATTAGAATATCATGAAAAAGTTCTTATTTCAAAAAATGAAACTTTCATATATTCTAGATTCATTACATGTAAAGTAAAACATTTCAAAAGTTTTTTGTTTTAATTTTGATTATTAGAGCTTACATCTCATGAAAGTCAAAAATCCAGCATCTCAAAATATTAGAATATTTACATTTGAGTTTCATTAAATGACTATCCCTACAGTATAAATTCCGGATATATATATATATATATATATATATATATATATATATATGCGTGTATTTTTTTTTTCAGCAACCTTGCTGAAACAAAATTCTTAAAAAAAAAAAAAAAGAAAAAAAAAAGCATACTGAAACTTCTAAAGGAAGTTTATATATACACACTATATAAATAGCTATATAAAATCCCCAGAGGCCAAACAAAGGTTTGTCAGACACAGACAGAAGACAAAAAAAAAACTCCCTCACCTGGAGACGTTGTCGGGCAAACAAGCAGAAATGCTGGTTTCCATACTGTCTGAGCTGTCCACACTCAGCGTATCAAAGGCACGGCCGTTATCTTGGTAACCAAAAGAGTCTAGGTAGATGTTGGTTTGTGAGACTGTGCCCTGAGAAACATGCCAACCAATCAAAGAAAACATGAATTTAGCAATAATGAACACTATGAAATAACACCACATGACTTATCCTTCCTGTTTTCAGGGCTATCTCAGCTTTACCTGAGAGTGCAGCATCACTCCCAGGAGCAGATTCTCCATTCCTGCTGCCCAGCTCAGTTTCCTCTGGCCAGGCACTGCCCGGGGCACCCTGGGGCCCTTTACTGTGCTCACAAAGACCAGCCACCGTGCAATAATGTCCTGACAACACACACTGCTGTTCAAAAGTTTGGGGTAAGATTTTTTTAAAAAGAAATTAATACTTTTATTCAACAAGGATACATTAAATTGATCGAGAGTGACAGTAAGGACATTTATAATATTACAAAAGTTTATATTTCAAATAAATGCTGTTCTTTTGAATTTTATATTTGTCAAAGAGTCGTACCACAGTTTCCACAAAAATGCTATCAATAATGATAATAAATGTTTCATGAGCACCAAATTAGCCTATTAGAATGATTTCCATCATTCTGACACTGAAGACTGGAGTAATGATGCAGAAAATTCAGCGTCGCCATCACAGGAATAAATTACATTTTAAAATCTATTAAAATAAAAAGAGTTTAAACATTTTAACATTTACAATTCTAATAATTTCACTATTTTCCTGTGTTTTTGATCAAATAAATGTAGCTTAGGTGAGCATAAAAATCTTTCAAAAACACTAAATCTTACTGACCCCAAACTTTTGAATGGCTGTGTATGTAAGAAAATACCTTACTCCGATTCATAGATTGGATCCCAAGCCCCTAATGATGCCCTTCTTCAGCTACAAGTCGAAAACAAAGAGATGGATGATATTTGTGCTTAATATCGATTAAGATGCTGTCTCCTGAAGATACACTGTTTAACTTGTAGCTAGAACAACTAGTACAGCTAGAATTAGCTCAGAGGATATGAGACTTGACTCCACTACAACCTTGATAACATCAACCACATCGAGAAAAAGCAGAGACCCGCCTCTCTGATGATCCGACCCAAGGGACCTTCAGATAAACCATCCGACAATACAGTCAAGCTTTTCCTCTACAACAGTAAACTCATAATGCACACATATTCAAAAAAGCTTTAGTGATTTAACAATCAAAGCTGGGGAATTAAAAAGAAAAAGTTCACAAATAAACCCATCAGGTCAGATATTTGTTTGAAAAATAGAATGGAAGCATTTCCTGTCCTTCATCATCCCAACATTCTTCGACTATCTTCACAAAACAAATAAATAAATGCAGAAAGTTTCCACCCAGATGGAACAAACGCTTCCTATTGGAGGACATCAAGTCCTTATAAGGAGACTCACTTTAATTGGTCTTGATTGGCTTGTTTTGGTGTTCCAGAGCCTTAAAGGTGGGGTAAGCGATTTTTCAAAAACGCTTTAGAAAACTGATTCGGGCTGAATAGCAAAACAAACTTGAAGCTAATCAGTAGTAAGGGGTGTGTCTACTCATGATGTGGAGGAGAGAGAGTTCAGTGCACAGGACGGACATTAGCTGAGCCGAGAGACAGAAAGATAGAGATGGCAGATAAAAAAAAAACAAAAGAGGAAAACGTCTGCGGAACAAACGAAGGCTTAAGGCAAGAAGTATGACCCGTGTAAATATCAAATCAGCTTTCCAGCGCTGGAGAGAACTCAAGGAGCGGAAGGCCTGCGATCGGACGCCGAGGTTGCTTTGTTTCTTCTCGATAGGTGAGTAACACCGTGTCTGCACCGCAACAGCTAAAGTCTGTTTAGTACACTGGACGCAACAAAGTGACCGTTGAAAATCATTTGAAATTTGTGTCAATATGTCACAAATATAAGGCAGCAGCAGTTTTCCGTCAGGGATTTGTCGTGTCGTGCCGCGCTGCATGCAGTGTAGACCATAGATATGTATATATACTGTATATCTATGGTGTAGACCGCATCACTGATTATGAGTTCTATAGTATTTTGTCTTGCCGTGTCACTCGCGTCCGGTGTAGACACGGTGTAACATTGGTTTTGCTTTGTTTCACAGAACTAATCATTGCCTAGGTTGCGTATGTATGTGTGGGGCGGAGCTATCAAAATAGGGGCGAGACCCTTTTGGGGTAGGGGCGTTTTTGTTTTGATGATTTCAAATGTCAACGTTGGCTACCAGAAATCGCTTACCCCACCTTTAATGTGGTAATGGTTACAGAGTTACTACACAAATAACTGCTAAGATCATGAGTGACCATGGTGTTGTTGCATGCTGGGTAATGAAATTTTTTAATTTCAAGAAAGGTGAGGTTACATTTACCGCTCTTCTGAAAATTTTTGCAGGTGTATGAATAGAAATCTATGCGATAGGGAAATTCGCTTGAGGGTGAAAGATTTTGCACCTGACTGCACCTAAACTTTGTATATTCTGCAGAGGAATTTTATAGAAGCCATGCCTCATTCCTGTCAGAATACCCATAAACACCCACCATCAGCTCTCTAGACCATAAACAGCAGTGTGACATAATAATTAAAGTGCCCCTATTATGCCATTTTTACAGTTCCTAATATTGTTTTGGGAGTCTCCTACAATAGGATTACATGCATGCAAGGTCAAAAAACGCTTTTGTTTTCTCAAAATATGCATTTAATATCACCACATTTTCCAGCGATTCTCAAATGATTCGTTCGAAGCAGTTCAAAGATTCAGTCTCTCTAAACCCCTCCTTTCCGTGAGCCTCCTCTGCTCTGATTGGTCAGATGGCCTAGTCTGTTGTGATTGGTCTACGGCTTGTGGGCGGGGTCAAGTTGTTCGTGGCCGGCCAACATAGAACATAGGCACGCATTATGCAAATGTGTTACCCCGTGACGTGTAGCCGTCACGGAAGTGGGATTCGAATTACTAACGACTCATTTCAGCTGTACAGAGTTGATTCTTTATTTTGGGAGACAATAACTTTATCTATCGTGCACTTTCAGCTTTACAAATTTGCAGATCGTTTACATTCACATACAGCTACATTACACACTTCATAAAAGGCAATATTGGAAATGGCATAATAGGGGCACCTTAAAGTCTATGAATAGAAATAAAACAAAAACAAATGACTACAGACAGACCTCATCATGCAGGACTGAATTACTAGAATAACATCACACCATTGTATGAAACAAATCATCTCATGCCTTTGTAATGTGTATAAAATATCAGCTTTATTTCATACAAGATTCAACCTTGTCTAATAAGACCCATAAAAGGCCCTGGTGAGTCAAACAGTGCATGAAATTGAAGAAACGCTACAGGTTTCTCCATTTCAGTGAGACCAGACACATTAAAAGCAATGAGAGTTGGGTTGATATCAGCCAATGACCAAGGCAATGAATGTCTCCCAAAGGAGGACATTCTTCGCCAGAGAGGACAGGCTAAGAGACTTTGACATTATTTGAATAGAAATTATATAACAGGCAATCGAGACTACTGTAGGCAGACTACTGTACCTTTCTTAGATTTGCCTGCAGGATAAAGAAAGTAATTCAAGATTAGGTAACGTTTGACTTATAAAGCATCACTTTTGATGTGTGATGTATGATGTAATGTAACATAATAACACTGTATATTTTAAACAGTGTGTTTGAGGTGGAGAGCCCTACCCTTGTGCAGGCGGTGTGTATCCATGTGCGTCTCTTTAGGGGAGATGGCAAGGGCTCGGTTCAACACACTCCCACAGCTGGAGCTTTGAGCTAAAGGGGGATGGGACTAAACACAGGGGGTGATGCTAGAGTGAGTTTTTATTTCATACATACATACAGTATCATTCAAAACATTTGAGTTCAGGAGGATGTTTTTTGAAAATTATAAATGTACAATTTTGTAAAATTATAAATGTCTTTGTCACTTGAATAATTTAAGGCATCCTTGCTAATTAAATGTATTAATTAAAAAAAAAAAAATCTAGTGTATAGTTACAAATATCTGGATGTTTTCCATTTTTTAGTTATATTATATTATATTGTATTAACCAAGAAGATAATATTTGCGTAAAATATTTGCGCAAATTAGTAAAATATTTTCAGATTTTAAATTCAACTAAATGAACAAGGAATAATTATTTATAATTAATTTTACTTAAATTCACCAAAACAACTCAAAATAATAATAAACAGCAACATTTACAGATATACATTTAATAAAACATTGTAAAGTATGCCAGGAACTTAAAAGTTACTACATAAGCTATTACAAAACCGGACAATCTTTGGGAAACATAAGGGCCAAATAATATTTAATATTTTTTAATTATCAAAAAAAAAAATTATATATTTTTATTATGAGTAATATCATTGTGACAATCACAGATTTTGGTTAAATTTAATAAATGCAAACAAAATAGTGAATACATAGTAAAAAAATCATCCAGTGCATACCTAGTTTATCATGACCATATTTTATTTATTTGGTCCTTGGCATTGAACAGGATGTTTTTGGCAACTGTACATTTAAGACTATAACAAACTCTATATAAATGCAATAAATAATAATGCAAATTAGTGACTTCTAAATATGTAAACGTATAATGTATTCTTACATTAGAGGGTATGTTACGACCAAGTGTGGCACAGGTGAACTGTGGGGTTATGGTGGGCTGGGTCTTCTTCCGAGGAAGAGTGTCACTCAAATGAGCTCCGCTTCCCTTACCGTACTGCTTCCTTTCTTCTAGGGTGCGGAAATGCTGAGGAACAGAAGGTTAAAGGTAAGAAATGTCTCTAATAATTGCACTCATACATACATACTCGCAAGGTTTACCTGTCTGTGACAGCGCTGTTTTTTGGCAGGCAGAGGAGGAGGAGGAGGAGGAGGAGGAGGAGAAGGGTTGAGGAAGGTGACCATGTCTTCAGGCCAGTGCACAGAGGGAGGTTTAGAATTGGGACGAGAACATGCAGTGAAAGAGGAAGAAGGGATGGAGGACGACAGTGGACAGGAAGAGGGAGAGTGCTTTGGAAAAGAGAAAATCAGAAAATAAGGATGCGAGAAGAAGGTGGGCTATAGTTTGCTTAAAGGGGACACATCATAAAAAAAATTGAATTTGCTTTGATGTTTTACGCTAAAAGGGCAAAATTACGAACCTGGACAAATAATAATAATAACTAACAACAACAACAACATTATTATTGTTATATATCAGTATAATATGACCTATTAAAAAAAATCTAAGAGAAACTGAATAAAATTATAATAATATAATCAATATTAATTTATAAAAATGTATAAATATACATTTTTATAAATTATTATATTATTAGTAATATAATTATATAATAATAATAATTATGATTATTATATATAGTATTATTATTATATAGTAGAATAATATGACATCTAATTGCAATATGACATCTAATTGAAAACAAATCTACGAGATTGTTTGATTTCCCTAGTAAGG